CACAGCCATGTCCTTGCCCGCCAATCTTCCTTGGAATCACTGATTGCCGACTGGTCCAGCACCTCAACTTCCTTTTCATCGCGTAGTTGGTTTCTTGGACACCTGACCGTTTGCACGGTCTGAGGCTCCGAAATTTTCTGGGGCTAAGGCGGCTAAGGTGTTTGGATGAGCCAAGTGCATCATATATTTTCCGAGTTCAAGGTTCACCAAAACAATAAAGTCCTGTACCTCGAGCCACTCAAGATATCGGCGCACATCTTTTTCTTCTCAAGGATTTAATGGCGCCGTACCGGGGAGCGGCCGGAGGCATTGACCCCGCCAAGCAAACCCACACAGTGTCATCTTTAGCCGTTTATGTGGTTTACACTGTATCTAGTTGGCTCAATGACAAATGAAGATTTTGTACAGCGATGTGCAGAGTGGCACGCGGCTTGCGCAATTACCTTCTAATAATCTTGATTCAGCCACTCCACTGGATTTTTGAAGGCTTCTGCTTTGCTGCACTGGAGGGTGCAAACAGCGATTCATACATGTCAAAATTCACATTTTCACATGCCGCTTAAGCAGCATCACCGGAGTTACTTGAAAAATGTGATTTTCAGATTTCACAACTTTTCAAGGTTGCTGGCGCTTTCCCTTTCTTATGCCAGGAGTCGCAACCTTGCAAGATCGCCTGAGGACCTGATGAGGAAGCTCCTTTGGGTCAATCGCCTGTCAAGAAGGAGCCAGCTTGTCAGAGCCAGAGGGGTGATTCTACATTTTTTGCAGTAAACGGCTGGATCTTTCTAGAGAAGCCTCAGGCACCGTTTCCCTTAGACACCTCTGGCGCTGGCCCTTTACCCAATAGACCAGGTTAGACAAAAAATTGTCTAATAGACAACTTTCTTAAAATTTGTCTATTAGATAAATTTTTGTGATTTGTCTTAGACAACATTATGTGACGAAAAGTTATCTAATAGACAAAACAAAAGTTGTCTAATAGACAAAAGTCTGCTGTCTTAGACAAATTTTCGCGGCTGCAAACGAGGAAATTTCAAGGAAATTTCCTCGAAACTACCTCGTCTGTTTTTCAAAACTTCCTTCAAACTACCTTTCTTTTTGTGGCAGTTTGGAGGTAGTTTGATGGAAGTTTGTAGGCAGTTTCAACCTGCAAGTGTGGAAGTTTGTCATGCACATGGACTGAAACTGCAATAAAATGCAAATTTTGTAACATAAACTTCCTCATGCCCATGATGAAACTGCAAGTAAACTTCCTCAGTGCCTGTGGTAGTTTTGAGGAAGTTTTGATTTGTCTGAGACAAAAAATTGTCTCAGACACAGCCAAAAATAGTCTAAGACTGTTTCTTCAAAATAGACTTAGACAAATTTTGAAAAGTTGTCTTAGCCAAAAATCATGTTGTCTTAGGCAACAAAAAAGTTATCTAATAGACAATTTTTTTACAAAATAGATCTTAGACAAAAAAAATCTAACCTGGTCTATTGGGTATATTCCTTCCACCCCTCCCCCCAGAAAGATGGAAAAGGCATAAAAGAGAGCGTTTCTAAATTCTAAAAAGAATTTGAAGGCTGGTGGCCTTCCAAGTTTGCTTTCTCCAGGATTTTGGGGGGCGGTATTGTCACGTGGTTCTTTTTGGATCGGAGCGGCGGACGGAGTCACATCTCCATGCCAAGCGGAGGGAACAGTAGGCGAGTGTGAGCCCGGAGGAGTGGAGTGGGCGCCACCTGGTATCTCTCCATGTTTGCAGAGTTAGCTTGTTTAGCTGCTTGCACTGCTTGTTCTTCTGTTCACTCGTCGTCATGCCACCCCCTTTGCTTTGAGCAAAACGCGGCACCAGGAGACCTCAAGCACAGGTGGAAAAATGCATATTTCCAGGGCGTTTTCACGCTGACATTTTTTGCTGGGTGTTGAGGTCTCCAGGCCTCGATCCCAAACCTCAGCTCCTATATATACAAATATATGACGTGTTTCAAGCACTAATAGACAAAATAATCCGCTAAGGAACGTGCATGTTTCTGCTCCCACACAAAAACGGTCATAAACCCAGCGCCTATGCTAGAATGCAATGATCTGCAAATATCTACAGGGCCCATTGTGGCGGAGCGCCATCCATCCCGGCAACGGGCTTCAGTCTTGTCAGATCCATGAAGCTGCGCCTGCGCGCGTATAGCGCTGAGTGGTACAGTCGAAGGCCGAAAGAGGCACCAAGCAATCGCGCAATCCAAGGAGGCGTGCCCCGCCAAAAGAGCTTCGGGCAAATTCAACCGGGTCCGCCCAGCAGAAACATGCGAAAAACATGGCGATGAGCAAGATTGATGACAGTCAGAACAAGGACACGCGGCTGATCTTGACCGAAGCTAGGTTGAGAACTCAAAGGAGTTCAAAACCTTCCACTAGCAAGCCCGCCAGCGCGTTCGAACGGTTGGGTTGTATGAAGCCGACTTCGGCGCCCGGTACTTTCTCTGACCCGCGAGCATAAACTAGTAGCATGCTGTGCAATGCATGTGCCAATTGCCAGATTCCTAGCGTCACTGGCACTCATTCCGACATCATCACTTTTATAGCGGGACGGCTCTGCTTACAACAAAAGCAAGAATGCTCTTAGGTAGGCGACGGATTGAAATTCGATGTTCAATACATTTTTCCCAAATTGCGGCGGGGATAGAATACAGCCGGCGTTTGTTTGATCGGCGGCGCTCATCGGCGCGTGGCATTTCTCTTCGATGGGCAGATTTCGTGGCAGGCGGAGCGTGTGGGACATGGCGGCGGTCTTGGGCGCCCTATGGCGCGCTCTAATTTCGCGGCAGGCGCCGTGAGGCATCCTGCCGCGCAGATTTCGTGGCAGGCGTAACAAACACTTCATGAGCCTTGAAGTGGGGATCTCATGGCAGGTTATAGGCGTAACAAATTGCGCAGGTCGAAGCACGGATTTCCCGGCAGCTCGAAGCGCAGAGATGCGATTGGACCCTTGATGAAGGCGAGACACTTCTGAAGTCATCCTGGACAACTTTGGTGGGCAAGATGAAGGCAATCCTCGCGCCTGCCCCAACCCCTCTTTGCGCTGCGCAAATCTGAGCGGTCCTTTTTATGAACCTAGCACTAATGGTGGGGACCAGGGTCCCCCAGCTGTTTAATTTCTGTATATTAAATAGAGGTCCCTCAGTTATTGAAAACCATAATTAAATAAGAACTCAATGAGTTCGAACATGAATCCACTGAGGTCCAGCCAACTCAATGAGCTGCCATTCAATTAGTTAAAACAATAACCCAAAACATACAGTTTAATTTTCTAAACTAAATCATTTGTAGTGAGAAGAGACAAATTGCTATTTTTCTTTTTTTAAAATATACCAGAGCTCAGCTACTTTGATTTAATTTTGAAAATAAATTGTCCTTTGGTGGGAGTTCTGAATTACCATTGGTTTAAATACTTGGCTGAGTTATGCGCAAACTAAACAAAGGGTAGTCCAACCCAAGCAGCCGGCTATTTAGTTTATTTCTTGACCTGGCCACTTGAAGACCCAGATTGTCCTATTTTTGCATTTTGTGTTCTTAATGTAGTAGCCTTGAACATCACAGCAAAGGCCTCCACCTAGCTAGTAGTGATGGCTTCCAACCTAATAGCGACGGCCCCCACCTAGTACAGTAGCTTCTTGCTACTTTAAGTTCTTTGTGCTTTTACGCCAGGAAACCACGTCGTAAATACCGATGGTTTTGAGCTATCGAGTGCTCAAAACCACCGTATGAACGTGCCTTGTTGGCAGCATTGGGTGTGCCACCACTGGGCCACTAACTAAATTCTGCCTGTGGGAGATGCCCACCCCACCCCATTTTTGAGAACCCTTCATGGAATTTCATGGAACCATCAAAATGCCAAAGGGCCAAAAGAGACACCAAGGACCCTGATCTGATGTGGCTGACGCTCGCAAGGACAGAAAATTCACTGCAGATGAACGTGCCTTGTTGGCAGCATTGGGTGTGCCACCACTGGACCAAGAATTAAATTCTGCCTGTGGGAGATGTCCACCCCACCCCACTTATTTTCAAGAAAGGCCAAAACCACCAAGAGTCTTTTGAGAACCCTTCGTGGAATTTCATGGAACCATGAAAATGCCAAAGGGCCAAAAAGACAGCAAGGACCCAATTCTGATGTGGCTGACGCTGGCAGGACAGTAAATTCACTGTACACATCAAACGCTACATTGCGCACTGCTTTGTCTTTTCTTCAGCGATTGTTTTCAATGTTCGTCTTGCTTTCTTGCCTCGAAAAGGGCGAACAACCGCCGCAACATACCACATGTCATGCGACGCGCCCAAAAAACTGAATCATTTAAGTTCCTCTTGCGCCATGATTGGTTTAATTTTCCAGCTTCGCATAATTAAATGGTGATGTAAATGGTCCCGCTCGAGCGCCGTCTCCAGACCAGCGACGCTTTTCCATGCGAATGAACGTGAGCGGGGTCACCAGGGCCACTCGTATTGGGCCAGAACATCAACGCGATTGAGGG